GCGGAAGAGGTTGGAAGCTGGGCGGAGCGGGGCGGAGGGGCCTGGAGGCTGGGCGGCGTGCCTCGGAGGGGCTGGGGCCGGGCGGAGGGGGGTGTGGCGATTGAGGCTGGAAGGCGGGGCGGGAGCGGGCCTCACCGCTAGGCTTTCCGCCCCTTTTGGCGTCTGGGGCCACCGTGATACCTAGGCCGCGTTCACTGGCGACTTTAGCTGAGGGCCCCGACCCCCGCCACTACCAACACCACTCACTGGTACACACTGATCAGGCAGGCCATCGGTGCCGGCGGGAGGTCACTAGGAAGACAGGAGGTTCCTCAGCCCGCTTTGGAGTCAGAACAGGGGAAAACTCAGATCAACTAAAGAAAAGCCCCTCTGGACAGCAGCAGGCTTCCGTTTCTAAATAAAGTTGTCCTTTCTATTTTTTAAGTTTTATTCTAAATAAACTTGTCTTTTTTAAGGCATATTTTGCCATTTGCACAGTTGTGGGAACTGTCGTGCTCTGTCATATATAATACCCATATAGCGGTAACCCAGGCGATAACTCATAATAGTAAAAGTATGAAATAGTAATAGAGGAAGCTATCCTTCTCAGGTTGTTTTTTGTGTGTGTCTAGTCCCCACACGCCCCAGTCTTCAGAAAAGTCGTGGTTTTTTTAGAGAGGGGGGACGGGGGAGAGGGAGAGAGAATCTTAAGCAGTCTCCATCCAGGCCCAGGGAGGAGCCCCATCTTGCAACCCTGAGATGAAATCAAGAGTCAGACGCTTAACCTTAACCGCTGAGCCATGCAGGCGCCCCCAGAAATGTTGTTTTTAAAGGCATTCTCCTACCGCCCACCCTATTAACAGTAAAATCTCCCTGCTCTCTTTTCATTTGCTTATTTGTGTCACCAATTGAAATGTAAACTTTTGGAGGGTAAGGGCTTTGTTTTGTTTTGCTGTTTCCACAGCACCTAAAAGGTGCTCACTAAATATTCAGTGAATGAAATAATTTTAAAAATGGAGCTTATAAACATTAGCTATTTTATATTAATTTAACAATTTCTGAGAGGTTTAAAAATTCAAATCAGAAGGTTACCCTGATCGTTCACATCTAAGATTTTTCTCCATGTTTAATGGGAATAATGATGATAATAATACCTCAAGGGTTATTTGGAGGATTGTACCTGCATAGTAAGCACTATAGAAGTGTTAGCCCTTCCTACTCATTCTTTAATGTCTATCAGGAATAAAGCTCTTGGAAACCAACACTTTTTGAAAAGACAAATAACAGTAGGCAAAAGTTGGGACCTGAATGAAGATGTTTTGCCTCTTACCTCTGAAACTGGGCCTTCAAATAATACAAGAGTTTAACTCTTATGGTAAAATTTCACCTTTGCCCATTGAAAACAGACATATATTTTCCATTTACTCCACAAAATACTTCCTTTTGAAATGTGTTATATAGCAGCTATTGGAAACTCAGATTGAGACAACAGTGCAAAATGATAGAGTGACTCACCATTACATAGATTCTTTTGGTTCTATCCTGAATCAAAGTTATCAAATGCAGTTCCATTACTTCAGCTCCATGCAGAAATGCCTTCACAGAAGCATAATGTACTCAGGTCCGTAGCATAAATTAAGATTTTTATACAACAAATGGCCATCTACATTTTGCCTGCACATTTTATAAAACTTTAATTATTGGGCGCCTGGGTGGCTCAGTAGGTTAAGCGTCTGCCTTCGGCTCAGGTCATGATCCCAGGGTCCTGGGATTGAGTCCCGCATCGAGCCACCTGCTCAGCCGGGAGTCTGCTTCTCCCTCTCCCTTTGCCCCCTCCCGCTCTCATGCGCATGCGCGCGCGTGCTCTCTCGCCCTCGCTCTCTCGCTCTCGCCTTCTCGCTCAAATAAATAAATCTTTTAAAAAAACCTTTAATTATCATTGTTGAATATCTTTAATAGATCCATGCTTTACTATTTGAGTTCAGGGCTAGGAAAAGGTTTTGTTTCTCCTGACAAATGCATATGCTTAGCTCCGAGTGCTAACTCATCATATTCAGGCTTTATCTTGACTCCCAAGAAGCTTGGAGATAAATTTATCTTCCGGCTTTTTGTTATTATAATTACTGCCATGACTTCAGAAAATGACTTATTTTTGTATCCCTATTTTTAATGACTTGATTACCCCAAACTGTAACTAGATCTCTGTGTCTTGGTTAAAGCTGCCTCAAATACTTTGAAGTAGGCAACTCAACACGCCTTGAGGGAGCTGAGGGAATTTGTATTCATAGTATCTTGACCATATTTCAGTTCAATCTCAGTCTTCAAATCTAGTTTAAAAAAATAGGAAGGTAATACAAAATGTAATGAGTTTGTCCCCCCGTCAGTAAAGACATCTTTAACTGATGTGTTTTAGAACAGAAAAGAAGAAAGCAACTAGACCAAATTGACAAAGTCACCAATAAAGTAGTCATCTTCAGCATTCATGGTTATTTACTTTCTAGAAAAACTAATTTCAAGTTTTCTCCGAATAATAGTACCTTACATTTATATAATGCATTGCTGTTTAAAAAGCACTTTTACACGGACTTCAACAATGCTGTTTATAAGAGAGGCATTTGAGGCTAAGTAGCAGTGCCATTGACTCCTCAGGTTTTTATGCACTTAATAGAAGCTTCCCCCAAAGACTTGAAAACATAAGGTACTAAGTGATGACAGCTAAATCCCTAAGAAGTGACTGGCAGAAGGACGCTGACACATGCCATAGATCTGGATGGATATAGACTGCTGAGAATTCCTCAGAATGGGTGCATGTGCGGAGCTGGGGGTGGGGGGAAACACAAAAATGATACCACATTTTAGCAATTGATCAAATAAGGCTTTGACAGACCTGCAAGCAATTCACAAGATACTAATGAATTCACCTGAGCTTTGTTTTCTGGTCCTGCTGATAAATTTATGTTTACTCAACCATTTATTCATTCATTCAAAATGCCTGCAGAATGCTTACAAAGTATCAGGCACAATGCTAGGCACTGGGAATACACCATGAAATGGATGTGCTCCTGTCTCCATGAAGCTTAAGGTCTCGTGGGAAGCCAGACAGGTGGATATAGGGAGCTGTGAGAATATACAGGAAGGGGGAAGAGCACCCAGTCCAGATGTGTGAAGTTTTCTTAAAGATATTCACTCATTCAGGTCTCTGCCTGATGCAAAGATAAGAATAGGGAAGAAATGGAGGAACAAGTGGGAAGGCCTCAAAGTGCGAGAAAGCAGAGCATTTCCGAGGGACAGAAATTAATTTTATTTGCTAGGGGGCATCCTCATATATTCCTGGAACTAATATTGGAAAACCTAAATTTTGAGGGTAGGATACATGAAGAAAAGGGAGAAAAGGTTTACTCAACTTATCAACACATAAGTAGCATTCTGGGTGATTTATCTTATTAAAAGGAAATTCCATATTTAATAAAGATTAAAATAATGTAAGGTAAGGGCTAGAATAAAAACAGATAAAGAAGCTTCTCTTTTTATTGCTGTACTTACAGAGGTATTAATGAATTTACCTTAAATTTTCCTCTTTTTTGTATTTTCCTTTGAAGATTTTATTTATTTGTCAGAGAGAGAGAGAGCACAAGCAGGGAGAGCGGCAGACACGGACGGAGAAGCAGGTTTCCTGCTGAGCAAGGAGCCTGATTCAGCACTCGATCCTAGGACCCTGGGATCATGACCTGAGTCAAAGGCAGAAACTTAACTGACTGAGCCACCCAGGTGGCCCTACCTTAAATTTTTCTTTCAATTAAGAAGTAGATGGAAAACAAAACAGCTCCGAAATGACTTAGCTTTCTTCAACAACATGTTAATTTTGATGATTGCTGAAGTTCACTGATTCTCTTCCAACGCTTATTAAACTCTAACTATGTGCCAGGCTCCTTACTGGATCCTATGGATACAAAAGCTAAAGACATGGTTCCTGCACTTACAGGAGCTTAGAGTCTAGAGGGAAGAGAATAAACAGACAGTTCGAATCCAGAGCACTGATACTCTGGGCATACACAGGAGGGGGCTCCTAACCTGGATGGGTTGTGCCCAAAGTCTTCCCAGAGAAACCCTTACTGAGTCTTGAAAGATAAGGAAGAGTTAGCCAGAAAAAGGAAGTCAGTAAAAGGAGCAGCATAAGCAAAGGAATGAGAAAGCATGGTGTGTTCGGGAAACTGCAATTACTGGTGATGTTCAAAATGGGTGTGAGTTAGGCTACGACAAGATCCAAGGCTGGAGAGAAAGATGCAGTGGTAAAGCTCTTTATTTGCCAGGCTAAAAAGTTTAGCTTCTACCCCAAGGTTATGAGGTACCACTGAAGAATTAAATTTGACAGTGACAGAAGATTCCTGTCAGCACTGTGAAAATGGCTTGGAGGAAACTAAGAGTAGGGACTGGGCAACGGGTTAGGAGAGGTTGCAGAGATCTAGGCAAAAGATGAGGCCTGAACACAGGGGCAGAAACAATGGACAAGTGGATGGATGAGGAAGAGCTTAAGGTGTTTGATCTAGAAGACTTGGAGGCTGGTGAACTGTGTGTGGATCTAGGTAGATGATCGTGCTATCTATCATGAGGGAGAAAAGAGGAGAGAGAACAGCTTTCTCCTCCTGGGTTTAAGGGC